CTTCTGGGAGAGAGAACAGTGGAATTCCATCCATACTTATTGGGTCACTGCAGGGAAATGTCCTCCCAGTTCTACACCTGTGGTGCACATGGACTGGAAGACCTTTGCAATCTGCCCTCTGTGATTGCATCTGGCAAACGGCCCCTGAAGTACTGAATTATTGCAGTAAGCTATGTACAGCTTTTTGAACACTCCAAAATAAATGCTTATTGTGAGTGTGTGTTAAGCATTGTCAAGTCACTTCTGGCTTATGGTGACTCTATGAATTAATTACCTCCAAAATATTCTATTTTTAACAGCCTTGCTCAGGTCTTGCAAATTGAGGGCCATGGCTTCCTTTATTGAGCCAATAGATTGCATGTTGGGTGTAGTGTAGTGGTTAAGTGCACAGGCTTTGGTGTAGTGGTTAAGTGTGTAGACTCTAATCTGGGGGAACCAGGTTTGGTTCCCCACTCCTCCACTTGCAGCTGCTGGATGACCTTGGGCAAGCCATAGTTCTGTCAGAGCTGTTCTTGAAAGGGCAGTTCTTGAAAGAGCGCTTTCAGCCCCACTACCTCACAGAGTGTCTGTTGTGGGGAGGGGAAGGGAAAGGAGTTTATAAGCCACTCTGAGAGTGAAGGGTGGGGTATAAATCCAATCTCCTCCTCCTCCTCCTTCCTCTTTTCATGTTGCCTTCAAATTTTCCTAGCATTGGTGACTTTTCCAGTGAGTCTTGTCTTCTCATAATGTGACCAAAGTACAACAGCCTCAGTTTGCTCATATTAGCTCCCAAGGAGAGTTCAGGATTGATTTGATCGAGAATGCTTATTAGTGTTATTTATTTATTTATTATTTTAATTGATAGCCCACCCTCCCCGCGAGCGAGCTCAGGGCGGCTCACAATCCCCACGTCCCTGAGCAGTGAGACATTCCTGGAGCCATACTACCTAGAACAGAGGTGGAAGCAAAGCAGCATCCCTACAACACAGTAGATCTGCCGTTCTCCAGCAGGCTCCCGGAAAGGGGATTCTGCATGCCAGTGGGTATCACCTTCCTCCAACTCACAACGTGTTCTTTATCAGACTCCCATAAGGCATCTCTTGATCCCTACCTCTCATGATCAACCCATTCATGACAATATGATAGCAACCTCACAAAACTCTTGTAAATGTGGGGAAATCCTGTAATGTGTTCTGACCACAGACTAACACACTGTTTCGTAAGTTAAAATATATACACAAATCCAAATGTCTGTTAATTTTTAACTGCGTAATTATGTATAATTTCCTTGTTTGCCAAATCTGGATTAACTACACATTGACAAAAGGGCATGATTCCAAATAAGCATGTCAGAGTAATTACTATATTTGTGCCATGCCAGTATCATTTTCAGATGCTGGCATCTGTTATTAGAAATAAAGAGGGGCAGGATGTGGTTTATGCTTGGCTCTTCAGTCTTAGCCACAACGAATAACAGTTGCATGGATCTGAAATAATCAGCAGTATTAGGAGCACATGACACTTGTGGTGCATCTACAAGATCATACTGTGAAATCTGGATGATTTTGTTTGGAATAATTGCCATGCTGGTTCAAAAATCAATTGTACTGATTAATATCAACTTTACACCAATAAGCACTCTTTTACTATTTTAAATTGATGGTAGAAGAATAATAGAATCATCTTCAGGGGTAAAATTATATTATGAAAGGCTGTTGATTGCTTGCCATTATGGAAAGGGGACTGTAAGCTGCTCTGAGACTCCTTTGGGTAGTGAACAGGTGGGGTATAAATCCAATCTCCTCCTCTTCCTCCTCTTTCAATACAATAGTATGTCGGGGGGGGGGAGGAAACAATGATGACAGTCTGATAATTGAAAAGAGGTCTGGAGGTGGGTGGGAGTGGGAAGGGCAAAGGAAATGGACAGAACCATTACACACAAGGAAAAAGGTGACTCAGAAATTGGCTTCCAGGAAAAGATTGGGGTAAAAGTTATCTCAAAAGAACCAGAAAAAAAAAACAAAACAGAGGAAAACCCCAAAACAGAAGCAAAAACTAAAGGCACAATAATACATGTGGAAATGAGGTTCAGGACAGACAAAAGAAAACACTACTTTACACAGAAAGTGATTAAAATGTAGAATTTGCTGCCAGAGGATGTAGTGATGGCCACAGGAATAAACAGTGTTAAAAGGGGATTAGATAGATTCATGGAGGTTAAGTCTATTAATAGCTACTAGCTATGGTGACTGAGGGGAACTTCCACATTCAGAGACACTAATCCTCTGAATCCCAGAGCCAGGGGGCAACATCAGGGGAAGGCCTCAGCCTCTATGCCCTGTTGTTGGCCATCCAGAGAAACTGGTTGGTCACTGTGTGAGACAGGATTCTGGACTAGATGGACCCAGGGTCGATGCTACCATTAGGCCAATTTAGGCAACTGCCAAGGGCACAGACCTCAGAGGGGCGCAGCCCACTGCTGAGCCCGGCAGCAGCTCCTCTGGCACGGAGTAGCGCAGTGAGGCCCCTTCCACTGCCGCCACCCACCTGGCCCCAGCAGCACCAGCAGAGTCAGCCCCAGCAGCCAGCGATCTGTGCCACTCATCTCTCTGCTGTGCTTGGGGGCCGAAGTTGCTGGCATCCCGCAACAAGTTGGCCATCCCCAGCCCACCTGGCTGCACCTCCCAGCAGCCTCGCAGCGGGGGCAGCCGGGCACTCGGGCATGGCTCTCCGGGCATGCAGATTGGCCCGACCAGCCCCTCCAAGGCGCTCACTCCACTGTTGCTTTGCCTGCCGCTCGGTGCTGTCCCACTTGGAGCTCCGCCCCCCACCGGCATCCCTGGGCAGCGCTTAGAGTCCTGCTCAATAACTGCAGTGGCCTGCCTCTCCCCCCTGCTTGTGGCACCCCTTCTCGGCCACCCAGTGGAGTGCCCCAGAGCGCCTGGCCCGGGGTCAGGGGCCTAGTGAAGGGCTGCCACACGTGCAGGAGCCCCGGCTCCACAGAGGCGGGTGGCAAGTGGAGGCCAAGGCCAGAGGCTCCCGACGACTGTGGGAGTAACCGGAAAACAAAGGTCCCCAACGTTTCTGAGCTGGGCACCTGTGGAGTTCTGGCACAGAGTGGTGGGCACAGTGACAGAATGGCTGGTACAACATCAGGGAGCCAGGTTATGTATATAACTGTAATAATAACTCTTGCAGCCCTAGTGCAGGGAGAAAGCCTGTTTAACAGGGTGCCTTTTAATCTGCACAGCCAATCAGATGACCTGCCAGGCTAATGGCCACCTACCCCCTCCCACTTTCTAAAAAAGCACTTGGCAGGTGCCAGGAAAGTTGCCAGCAGGCACCGTGGTTCCCTATTTCAAGTTTTGTGCTTTTCATTTTTCCTACAATTAATCTCTTTTTGAAAATTGGTTAGCAATGGGGGGGGGGCACAAGTCGTAGCCTTGCCTAGGGTACAAAAAAGCCTGGCACCGGCCCTGGATGGACCATTGGTCTGATCCAGCATAGCTCTTCTCATATTCTTCTGTTCTTAATTACATCCTCAGTCTAGCAGTTTCCCAGATAAGTGACCCTTTAGAGAGCACATAGCTTACACACTTTTGTTGTTGTTCAGTCCCACAGTCGAGTCCGACTCTTCGTGACCCCATGGACCACATCACGCCAGGCCCTCCTGTCTTCCGCCGTCCTCCGGAGTTTGCTTCATTTCATGTTCGTTGCATCGATGACACTGTCTAACCATCTAATCCTTTGCCGTCCCCTTCTTCTTTGACCTTCAGTCTTTCCCAGCATCAGGGTCTCCTCCAGTGAGTGCTCCCTTCTCGTTTGGTGGCCAAAGTATTTGAGCTTCAACTTCAGTATCTGTCCTTCCAGGGAACAGTCAGGGTTGATTTCCTTTGGGACTGACTGATTTGATCTCCTTGCAGTCCAAGGGACTCTCAAGAGTCTTCTCCAGCACCATAGTTCAAAAGAATCTATTCTTCTTACACACTACCAACCCTTTAATCAAAGCTTGTGTCATCCCTTTTGCCTGATTGTGGGTAGTTGGGTATAAAGAATTCATATGAGATGTCAGAGTGGGGGATTGGACTTCTTCAGTCCAGTGGGCAGTGGCCTCAAAATCCTCCACCTTCTCTCACCTACCACAGTTGCCACACCACCCCTTGGCTCTGTCCAAGAAAACTCCTCCTGCCCGCTCCATCAGAGCGTCTAGCTATATGAATGAGAAGGGGGGAAGGGGAATGAAGTGTTGCTTGCTCCGGACCATTAGAGCTTACAGAGTGAACAGATGGGAATTGGGAAATTGTGGAAGGTAGGCTACCTACCCTCAGTCATTCAAAAATATTGGGGCAAGTAGGACGGCTGTTCTCCAGTTTGGTGTAGTGGCTAAGAGTGGTGGACTCTAATCTGGAGAACTGGCTTTGATTCCCCACTCCTCCACCTTGGGTTAGTCACAGTTCTCTCGGAGCTGTTCTCTCAAGAGCTCTCTCAGCCCCACCTACCTCACTGTTGTGGAGAGGAAAGGAAGGTGATTGTAAGACACTCTGAGACTCTGAGTGAAGGTCAGGGTATAAATCTTCTTCTTCTTCTTCTTCTTCTTCTTCTTCTTCTTCTTCTTCTTCTTCCCTGGTTTCTTCTGAAATTTGACGCCCCATGTACAGTACTGTCTATGCTGCCAGCTGGATTGAGCTGACCTTGCCTTTATTATGTATGGACTCACAAAGGTTCAAGAACTCTTCATGTATCCTTTGAAGAAGGCTGTCATTTTTGTGCTATTAACTGGTTTCATAAGCCAAAGAAGAGGTAAGAACTTGCTTGATAAATGATCAGGAAGCAGTGTGTGTGTGAGTGTGGCATACAGTTTTGATAATTATTCTTGCACAGTAATCCTACACACTAAACAGGAATAATATTTTATATAAGCATCACTACCTTGCTGGTATTTTTCTAATCATGCCACGTACAGGCTTGTTTGCTAACCTGATAGAAGGCATCTAGGACAAAGAAACAAAAGGACAAATTACCTTTGCATTGAGGAAATTCTCCAGTCCAGCTGCCATTTAGCTGACACACTCGAGAGCTGGAACCGACAAGTTGAAATCCAGGATCACAGGTGAAATGAACTTCATGGTCTACCATGTTCTTGCTGCCAAATCTTTTGCCATTTGGAGGGGCTTCTTGTGCAGGGCAAAACACTACAAATATAGTTGGGTATACAGGGGTTAGTAGCTCCCAGACAAAAATTCACACACTACTCTGGTGTGTTGTGGTATGGACTACTATGTCCCTAGTGGCTACTAATTGAATTCATGCTGAGGATGTTGTTTGTTTGCCTATACCATGAAACAACAGTGACCCACTCCAAAAAAGACAAAAAATAGATATCAAAGGCGCACTCAAAATAATTATTCTGAAAACAGACTACCTGAGTATGTACAAAATCTTTTTTCTTAGTAATTACTCCAAATGTATCCCTTTCATATCTGATCCCCAGCTTGTTCCTTGTACCATTAGAACTTTTACAAAGGACCCAGTTATGAATACATGAAACACAACTTTCAGTTTCTAGAGGAGCATAATTTCTCTACACTGGTGACTCACAAAGAGATCAGGAAATGGATCAAGAACTTGAGACAGTTACTTAAATTCCAAATATGAAAATTCTTTTTCTCAAATCCACTAGTTCTTGGTTTTGAAAAGCCGGTGCATGGAAATGAACTGGACAGCCAGTTCTATGCATCTACCAGCACATTTTGACAAGTTCTGGAAAACTTGTGCTTGCCAAGGCTTGTTACAAGCTGCATCCTGTGTGCCTCATGGTGCGTGCCAAGTGTAACAAAGCCCCAGTCCAAAGCACAGTTAGTCATACTTAAGTCTCGTTGACATTACAGTACAGTCCTAAGCAGAGTTACAGGCTTCTACGACTGTTGAAGTCAATGGGCTTAGAAGGGTGTAACTCTGTTTAGGATTGCACTTCTAGTCATCACTTACTTGCCTGATTGAACTAAATGGGATGCAAATAGTACTATCTGTCTCTGGACTGAGGCTGAGGTTTTTCAAGTGGCTACCAGGGCTTTTTCAGTTGTGGCTGTCAGACTCTGGGACTGCCTACCCCTTCAGTTGTTTGTTATACCACCTTTCCCTTAAGCTTCCAGAGATTCTCCAAAACCGTGTTATTCCTGAGGGTGCTAGGCATTTTTGCTCCCTGATAATGCTATTTTAATTTGCTTGGATTTATATGGTTGCTTTTAATATTGTTGGTGTTACTGATGAGTGTGTTCATTGATTGCTATTTTATAGTCATATGTCTGAATTGTTTTATTGTTGCTTATATGAGTGATTTTGCACTGCTGTTGCTTACTGGTTTTTATTTTACATCTTTTTGACACACCCCAATTGTTGTCAATTAGATTCCATTTTAATTTTTGCTGAAACTGCTTGGTGCTATGTTAGAAATCTTTCCCATAAATAAAATTAATAGCACATCCTAAGACCTCAGTGTGTTCAGCACATATCATTTACCTTTGTCTGCCTGTGGGGCTTGTTTCACAAATCCCACAAGTAGCTATATCTTGAGTTTGCTATTGAATGGGAGCCATGTGGATTTGTGGTGTTGGGTTTTTTTTGGATGAGCCATCTAAAGAATTCAACAGAACTAATTAATTCACATTCCATGTTGAAGGCATTCTGTGTCAGTGCTGAAAATCCTTCTTATACAGGTGTCTTACAGAGATAATAGTCCTTTCTTCATGGAGGCTGTCAGTGTTATTACTGATGTGTATTTACCAAGTCTCTCTGGGATTAACAAATAAAGCATATTGGCATATAAAAGTGGGGCTCCTTAGTGAGGCACCATCCTTTTGTGGGATGCAAAATCATCTTCCATTTTTAAAATATAGAGAAAAGGGAGAGAACAGTTATTGTCTTAGAAAATCATGTTCCCCCAGAAATAGATGCTGCACACTTATTGAAAAGCTAGGACGCCGCAATGAAAACTGATAACTCTGAAACTTGCTCTTGGTTTACTTACTGATAAGGTTCAATATATATATATTTAATATCTCCATAATATATTTGCAAATATCCATATTTCTGTTTTTAAGAATCTATTCCCACATGGGGCTTTTATTCTGAAGTTATTACATGTTGTTAGAAAACTGTCTGGCCATTGTATAGATCATGAAAGCCATAGAATAGGGCCAGCACTGACAAAGTAAAGCTTGGAGTTGCCAACCTCAAGGTGGGGCCTGGAGTTCTCCTGGAACTGGTTTCCAGACTACAGAGATCAGTTCCCCTGGAGAAAATGGCTGCTTTGGAGGGTGGGCTCTATGGATCACATCCCCGCTGAGCTTCCCCCCCTCCCCAAGCTCTACTCTTCTCAGGCTCCACCCCAAATCTCCAGGAGTTCCCCAACCCAGAGTTGGCAACCCTACTGCTCCACATACCAAGTTCCAAGGAATGCAGGAAAATATCACTTTGAAAATTAATTGAAAAAGGAAAAAAAATCAAAAACCATCCAAAGGAGGACTAAAAAGCTGATCTCCCTGCCCCCCTCCCATTTTAGATTTAACACAATGAGTTGAGACTTTTTTTTTTTTTTACCAGTTGGTAGGTCTGGAGTAGCTTTAGTCACTGTGTTTTGGAGAGTCGTCAGTCGGTGCTTCATGGTGCGGATTCCCTCTGCAAATCGTGTTTCCTGCCCCTTCAGCAATTGCTGCATTTGGCGGATGGCAGCCAGAAGTTGCTGTTTGTTCATGCAGTTCTGGGGAAAGAAGGGTGAGAAGAGAAACTAGGTCATTGTCACCCTAAATGCTTGTCCTGGTGATGAGGCCTTTGCTACCACCCCTGTTGTGCAACAACCTGAATCAAGGTAGTTCAAGAAATCTCCAGCCCCAAAAGCAGAGGTGGGGATGGGGAAACTGGGGCATATCTAAGCAGAGGACACCAGCTAAAGGAGAATGGGCAATCTCTAGACTGTCCCCATAAAGTGACTCTTAACCCAGAAACCAACAAACAGAAGTGATCGGATCATAATCAAAGACTTCTAGGAATCTGTATTTGTTTCAGTGGTCTACACCTATGATACTAGTAAAGTATAATTAGAAAGCAATTGTCCCAATGTCTTTTGGATTTATATCCTGCACTTGCTCCAAAAACCCCCAGACAAAGTACTAGAAGCCCATGAACACATTGCTAATATGTTTTTTTCCTGATTAACAACCGTGTGGGCCTTGGTTCAGATGGGACACTGACACAGGGAAGGAGTTGACTCTTCCCCCTATCCTGTTTGCATTCCCCTCCCTTATAGCTACTATTTGCCCTGTTTGATGAAATACGAAGTTTGTCTCAGGATCCGGTTCCAGTCTTGACAACAGCAGGTTTCAGCGAGAACGCTCTTCGGGGCACTGCTGAAAACTCGCTGAACCTCCTGACTTCCCTTATGAACTTACCAACTTTATCCCGCTGAGTGCCCCTGGAGGGGGTCTCAGGGCAAGGAGCTCAAACTGAGAGACGGTGGGGACAGCGGTCCGCACACGAACTTGGTATTGCTTCGAAACAGGAAGTTGTGGTCAGGCAGTCAATGCTCCACATTGAAGATTAGTGAAGACTAGGAAACCACAGAGGACTTTACATATCTTTTTTATTTTTATTTAAGTTAAAAAACACTGTTTGGCAAAGAAGACGAAGACTAAGAACTGTAAGCTAATTTTCCTTCCCTGCTGGTATCAATTAGGGGACTTAAAGTGAAAGGTGAAGAATTTAAACTGCAAGCTTTTGCTGATGACTTAGTCTTTATTTTAGAAGAACCACATAGTTCTGTTAAACAATTATTGGCATTAATACAGCAATATGGACAAGTAGCAGGTTTCAAAATTAAAAACACAAAAATATTAACTAAAAATTGTACTAATGACCAAATTCAGCAGTTGCAAGAAATATTGGGAATCGAGATATGTTAAAAAGTCAAATATCTGGGTATAAACATAACAAATAGCTATAGCTCATTAATGGAAGACAACTATAAGAAACTTTTCCTTGAAATTAAGAAAGACTTGGAGAAATGGAACGGACAAGATAAAAAAGAAAGAGGCAGAGCTTCAATGGTCTAGAAGAGTATTCTTCCACAAATAATCTTCCTCTTTCAAACTATTTCAGTTTTGAAGAACCAGAAATACTTTAAGGAGTTATATCAAATCACAAGTAAGTTCATTTGGAAATAAAAAAAAAGCTAGAATAAAGCTGAAGATCTTGCAAGATAAAAAAGAAAGAGGTTTTGCGCTACCAAACTGGGCATTGTACTATAAAGCTGCTTCAATGGTCTAGATAAAAGATTGGATAACACTTGATAATACAAGATTACTAAAATTAGAGGGACATGATTTGGCAATGGGATGGCACACCTTTAAGATAGGGCATATTTTAAACAGCATATGATCAGAGGCTCATTAATAAAAGTCTGGGAAGAAATCAAACAACATTTTTATAGTAAAACACCTAGATGGGTTTCTCCACTGGAAGCATTTATTAAACCTACATTATTTTTGAAACCTCTGAAGTGGAGATATGAAGATCTATTAGACAGCAAAAATAATTTGAAGATACCAGAGCTGCCGCAAGAACAAAGCCCTATTTTGTCATGGTGGGAACAATTACAACTGGAATCAAGATACAGTAAAGAGAAAAAGATAGGTACCTATGAAAAACCGACAGAGTTAGACAAAGTATGGATATATACCGAGGAAAAACTGATAAAGAAACTGTATACCTTTTTATTGGATTATAATATGCAAGACGAGGTGGTTAAACCATCTATGATCACCTGGGCACAAAATTTGGGACATAGTGGCCCCTGCCACACGGGGACGAAAAACACGGGCAAAGTGTGGCTTTTTAAAGCTGCACCAAAAGAGACACGCGGCGGCGGGATCACATAGATCCCCTGAACCGCCGTGCACTTCCTCCCCGGCACAATCAGATGCCGGGGGGAAGCCACTGACCGGGAAGCAAGGCAGCCGAACTGCGCATGTGTGAGCATGCGCAGTTCGGCCGGGATTGCTACAAACGAAGAGCGCGCTGGCGATCCCACGGCTGCGCTTGATGCGGCGTCCCAGGTAAGTCCTCCTCTGGGGGTGGTTCTTTTTTACAGCGCGTTATTGGCCTGAAGGGACGGATCGGGGACGGGTGCGAGCCGATTTCCAGATGTTGCGGTGTGCTCGCGCCCGTTTGCTGCGCCTCTCCCAGGCCAAACTCTTCCATGTGACCAGGGCCAGTATAGATCTAGAACAATGGTTTAAGGTTTGGAAGACTAATATAAAATTTATCAGATCGATTCCACTTAAGGAAAATATATACAAAATGATTTACAGGTGGCATATGTCACCAGTTAAAATAGCTAAATGTTACCACAAAGCAACTAACATATGTTGGAAATGTAAGCAAAATGTAGGGACTTATTTTCACATGTGGTGGCTTTGTGATGAAGCAAAAAAATATTGGCGAAAGATACAATCAATGATACAAGAAATAATAAAGAAAGATGCACCCTTTAAACCAGAGCTGTTCTTACTTAATATTATCCCAGAGATGTATAAATCGGAAGCATTCAATCATGCATCAAAGAGATATTTTATTTTTTTGTATGTGTGGGTCCCTTTCTCCTGTCTGATATTTGGCAAGCTTGATCCCTTGGTGAAAAGGACATAAATCCTGAATATTTCATCCAAATTATATAGAATTGAAAATGCTACAACTGTAAATATGTTTCCCATTTAAACCACTGAAAGCAGAAATCCATTATTAGTCTTGCTGCTTTGCAATCATGCTGTTATGAATTTATTTATGAAAGACCATGATTACACTGCAGTGTGAATGCAAAAGTATGTAAGAAGAAGAGACAGAGAGAAACCCTGAGTCCTCCAAAGCATCTATATAAAAGCCATGTTGATCTATTTAATACTCAACATGAACAAATCCAGAGACTAGAGCCATGAACAGACAAGACATATCTTTACAAACCTGAGAAAAACACCAGGTTTGCAGAAAAAAAATCTAAAATCTTAAAATAAACAAACAAACAAAAAACATTAGGGGTTCAACTCACACCCAATAACAGCAGCAACAGCTGTAGCTTTAAGAAATGAACGCCCTCAGTAGCTGTTGCTAGGCAAACACAACACTATTGCCAGCCTTCAAGCCTTGGTTTCTCTCAGGAAAAGTCAAGAGGAGGGGCAGGGCCATTTCTAGGGCTATTTTTGGCCTTTGAAGGAGGACTTAGCAGGGCCAGGCCTGCCAGCAACCACTGGGCAACTTGATACCACTTGACTTGCATGACTCACCCAGGACTGGCTGTTTATTACCGCTGAACAGCAACCACCACATGAAAGCCATTGTGGTGTAGTGGTTAGAGTGTCAGACTGGGATCTGGGAGACTCAAGTTCAAATTCCCACTCAGCAGTGAAAGCTTATTGGGTGACATTGAGCCAGACACACACAATCAGCCTAAACTACCTCACAGGGTTGTTGTGAGAATAAAATGGACCAGAAAATGATGTAAGCTACTTTGGGTCTCCATTGTAGAGAAAAGCATGATATAAATAAAGAAAAGGTACAATAAATATAGCTGAAGACAGGGGGAAATAAAATATAGATTGGTTTTTGACTGGGAAGAAGGTATGGAAGCAGGGAAAGGTGTGGATGTAGAAGCCAGGAGGAGGGAAACTGGCTTCAGCCCAGCAGCCAATATTGTGCAACTAGGCCTGGTTCAGAAGCCAGTGACACACAACTGGGCCATAATTTTATTGGGCAAAGGGGGCCAGGAGAGAGGAGAGAAAGCTAAAAACAAGAGAGCAGATAAAAGTAGGTTTGCTGGTGGGTGGGAAAGAGAGAAAGAAGCAGGTAAAAGGGAGAGGCTATGAAGGCTTTTATAAGAACGGAAAGAGGAAATAGTGGGGGAGGGGAAATGAGATGTCCACTGCAAGTCCTTGCTGGTCTCCTTGCTTGTATACAACTAATTCTTTGTAACTGGGGGATTGCTGTTGCCCGTTGGCATGATGTTGCTTCCAGGTGTTCGTGGAAGTGAGGTCAGTCCCTCCAGAGATTGCCAAAAACTCTGGTTTACCTGAGTTTTAACCAATTCCTAGAGTGGCGTGACATCACTTTTCGGTTTTTCAGGAAGTGATGTCACACTGTTGTCCACCAGTCATTTTTTTAAAAAATTATATTTCTCCTACTATTGCTCTGAGGAGGGCTGACAATCCTATCCAGTGCTGCTGTTGCAGGCCAGGCTGACTCCTCTGTATTCCTGGCTGGAAGCATTTTTATTTTTATTTTTTATTTTTATTATTATTATACTTTTATTATAATTTGCTCTTACTTCAATGGTAGTTATAATTCAAAGATTAGCCATCTCTTAACTTCATTGATACCCAAAATGATTTTGACCAACCAATTAAGATGTGGCTGCTGCAATATTTCTGAATCTTTGACAGATTTTTGAAGTGGAAAAGGGAATTCTTAAAGGTATATTTGAGGTGTACAAACATTGATCATAAACATTAGGCTTGCTGCAATCTGGACGTGCCTGTAATTGCACCGGTTTAAAGTGTTGCAGGGCAGACCAACCAGACAGCACACCCTGGAGTGGTTTCCCTATGTGCTTCTCTGGTGGTCAGGCGTTCACATTATTGCAGCACCTCAGCCATGGAAAGCACTGCCCGGTCATTTTTTAAATGCAGGCGGGTGCATGCGCATATGCACTCATGCGCATATAGGCAGCAACTAAAAAAAAAACAGAAGCGGAAATGGATCTGTGGGTTCAGACTTCCCTTCTGAGTACTTTTTGTGGCAGGAGAGTTCAGACCTCTGGGAAAGTGGAGTGGAATCACAGGCATCCGTTAATACAAGACTTTCCCCAGTGCCTTTCTTTCTTTCTTTCTTTTTTTATTTATTAACTCTGCTTCCAAAGCGGGGCAAAATGGGGTGCCGACAACTGGGGCATGGAAGGCAGATGTTGTCGTCTGATCGTGCTCTTTAAATCCGCAAAGGTAATGCTACTGTATCACAGCAAACTGATCATGTGACCACAGCCCAAGGCACTTTTAAAATGTCTAGAACTCAGATGTTTTAAAGCAGTGTTTTCTGAAATTTGGCAAAACTGTGCCCATCTCCATGTAGATACCATGTGCCAAACCTCAGGCTGACAACAACAATTGTCAAGGTTTTATGATGAATTGAATTTTCAGGCATTATAGTAGAAGAACTGTACCTCCCTTTTTAATTCATAAAAAGTGTGTTCCAGCAATCAGAAGTTTGGGGAATATAAGGCTTATATTCGAGAGAGAAATACCAAATGGAAACAAAGATGAACAAAGTTTTAGTTCATGTCCAGCATTTTGCACTTATTAATGGCTTGGATCAAGCAGAGGATTTCTGTGGATGGAAAGAGAGGGGAATTTTTACTGATTTCCCTTCCTGTTGCAGGCATCCACCTACTCCCTCATGCTGTCCCCCAGGAGCAGCATTTCATGGGAGATTTTGAGCTGTGGGGTGGGGGGCGGGGAAGTCCCACTCCAAGGATAGATATCCCTTCCATCAACTGAAATTACTGCCTTTTTTATTCCTTGCTTACCCAGTTTATCTTTTTGATTTCCCTATATATAGCATGACTTTTTGAGTGTCGGCAATTCAAAGAATGTCTATAAAAGCCAGAGGTTGACAGCATTAATCATTTGTGCTATCCCACCACATTTGCAAGATGAGACAGGAGAGAGCAAAATGAAGGGCAAGAAAAGATCAGATTTTGACAGGAGATACGTATATATTCCCCAGTGAAAGTTAAAACTGTCAGTACAAAAGCAATGAATTCAGAGTTTGAATGAACTGAGGAAAAGTCTTTCTACTAGCAAGATGCAGGGATCGGAGAGACCTCCCTCTCACTTCACTGCCGTTACTGTACTGTATGTTTCCCCCCCAATCAAGTTACTATCACATGCATGCTCATGTTTATTATTAAATGGAAAAAAAGGTTACACAAATGAAATAAGACCACATGTTAATCTGGAGAGGTCAGTGCTAGATGGGAACTTACCTGGGAAGCCTGAGATTCCTGACATACCGCTAGGCAGAAGGAGACGAAAAGGCTGTATTGGAATCCAGAAATCATGGTCCTGTTATTTCCAGATAGAAATGCCTCCTCGGATTGCTTTGAAGTGCTTCACTGAGCAGTTGCTCTAACAGTCATGTTTTAGTGACTGCAAATCACTTGGGAGGGGGGTTACGTTGCCAAGCTTTTCCTTCCTGAGCTCAAGAGTGACTGCAGCATCCCCCCCACCAAAGGGTTTTTTTCCTGTAGAGCAAAACGCTTGACTTCAACTCCTTATTGGCGGACTGCCTTTGCTGCAAGTGTGCTCCCACACAGGAGCTCCCCCTTCCACCCCTTGAGAGTTTGCACAGTAACACCTAAGAGTTTTGGCTCCTAGTGAGCAGTGACATGTCGTTTCTGCCAGTGCTGATTTCCCCCCACACACACACTTGAAGAAACAGCATGTCGAGTGGAAAAAAATACGAATATTTCCTGGTGCAGAGGAGCCAATAATTATGGATATTAATTTTGATTTATAGCCTGTCCCAACCAAAAAGCTTATAGTAGTCATAACTGTTATGTAAGGATGGATGATACATTTGAGTCTCCCACTTGTGTTTGTTTTGGGAAAGTCAGGAGGTAGAAGACATAATTTGTATACCACTTGAGTGAGTTCAAAGTTACGGTTCCAAAGGCTAACTACTGAACCACATAGCCATGTTTGCTCCTCTCATTAATTCATTAGCAGTGCAATCCTAAAACCCCTTTCCTAGGAGTAAGCCCCGTTGATTAGACTTCAATGGGATCCTGAATAGATCTGCTTAGGGTTGTACCGCCAGTAGCCTGAGGTATTAGGAGCCCCCTAAGAGATTGGGCTGCTAAGCCTCTTGGATTGATGGGGGATCTCACACTGACAGTCCTTTTCTCCTGCCACCACACAGTGGGCCAGCTGGGGGGAAATAGAAGGGAGAATTGCAAGCAACGTGGTGATGTCAGAAGTGACATCATCATATAGATGTGATACTATCAGAAGTGTCACCACGTTTCAGGTCACGAAGGAGGAAGTGACATCATCATATAGATGTGATACTTCAGCATCCACCCCAAACTGAATGGTCGCAGTGTTGCCACAAGCCCTACACTGCCGATGGGTGTCCTGTGGGTTGTCAGTCTTAACCTTACTAAGAGAGTAATCCTAACCAGATCGAACTCAGAATCCTAAGAATGACTATTCAGTGGGGTTTGTTCTGAGGAAGGCATTTTTAGGATGGCACTGTGAATCTCTGCCAGACCCCACTCAACAGTATGCAATAATAATGCTGATCTACTTTGGAGGGTTGTTATAGGGATGTCGGAGGGATTACCATGACGTATCTTGAACGCACAACAGATGCTGGAGGGATTACCATGATAATGCACATGACGTATCTTGAACGCACAACAGATGCTAATTAAGGGTTATCCCCATTTTGCAGATGATGGAGTGTGAGCAGCTTGCTTAAACCCTCTTAAAGACTTTAGGTTAGAGGTCATATTTGAAAGAGGTGCTTTCTGGTTCACGGATCACAGTGCAATCCGATGCAGAGGGTTGGTGGTGGAAAGTGCCGTCAAGTCATGGCTGATTTATGGCAACCTCATAGGGTTTTCAAGGCAAGAGAACTGGCAGGTTCCTAGAGCATCACTGTGTGGCTGCAACATCCCATTCAGCTCTTGGGGGGAAGTGACATCATGATGCATGTAACACTGTTCTCTCCCCCCATCTTTTTTTTCCAGCTGTCAAGAGGAAATCAGCAGGTGGGCTGCAGCCAGAAGTGGGAGAATGCCCACCACTGCCTGGTAAGTGGCAACCCTATGTTTCGTCCTATGTATTATTTGTGACTATTAGGCTACCATGTGAATAAAACTGCAGGAATATTTTCCATCTGCATATCAACGATACTTTCCAGGTGACATTTGTATCTGCCCTCTGCATCCCTGAGCCCATGAGCTGTTGATCCTGTTTCTCTCTTTGTTCCTTATCCCAAACACATTACTTCAGTGGAGTGCAAAATGATCAATACTGTTGGCACATTCACATCCCTGTTCTTTTCTCACTGGTACAGAAAGAAAATTGAGGGAGCTATGAGAATGTTATCTTCACATTTTCTTTTACCTGAGAAGGGTGCAGCACACATCACATTTAAAGCAGGTCAGAAGCTACTTGCCACATTAGCATCTGGCCATGGATCCTTGGTGTGCTACAGCTACTGGTGTAGAAGATGACAATCTGATTTAAATATGACTCCAACCCTGTGGAACTGTCACTGGTAGGGTTTTTTGTCCATCTTGTGTCACTTTGAAATTGGAGTCGAGCGCTGCCCTGTTGCTTAATTTGAGCTAGGGCAAGGCCTGGCTGCTAGGACCTGGCTCTCTTTTCCTCACTGAGTCTGGATCACACAGTTCATGAAAATTAAAGCCTGTTACTGACATGCTCAATACAATAAAGTGATAGATAGGAAGGGGAAGTATTCTGGATGGTACCCCTTCAAACAGCAGGTGGCAGGGGATGGGTCATATTTATATGTATAGCTTTTAATCTGTCTTTCCCCTGTAAGGGGGCGTCTTCATATTCTTTCAGTGCTTCTCTGTGTAAAAAGCTGCAGGTATGCACTGTGCTAATGGACCACAGAGAGCTTTTTAGCACATCCCTTTCCCTGAAGTGCCAGTTTACCACCTGCAGGGAGCTCACTTGTCACACAGGTAGAGGGGGCATTCAAAAAGAAGGTGTCCCACTTGCGCTCCACAGTGGTACAATGCAGAAATCTCTCACTTCAGTCTACCTCCTCAGGGCCAAATCACACATGCTTGTTGATCTCCAAATGTGTACTTTAGTAGTAAAAAGCATTGGGGGGGGGGATATGGGACACAACCATTGTACTGAGAAAGTGGCCTTTAACTCTTCCTCCCATTTCATTTTCTGAATTCCAAACATTCCCCAGCTATTTGAATCCTTGGGAGAGAAAAAAGGGGGGGTAACAATATGAGTGCCTCCTAGGACTGAAAGCAGCCAAGGGAGGCATTTTCAATCCAGGAAGTTGCACAGGAAGTTTTATTTTATTTTATTTTTTATATTGCATTTATAGCCCGCCCTCCCTGCAAGTGAGCTCAGGGCAGCTCACATTACTTGGCCCCCAACGTGCCAAAATTCATATAACAATTAAAGCATTTAAAACATCCAACATTCATGTGTTATTTTGGTTGGTCCAAAATTCATATAAGAATTAAAACATTTAAAACATCTAACATTTAAAACCATTTAACAATCGACAATTGCAAGAAAGTGCAACGATAGTTATTAAAACAAGATGGCATGCTTTAAAATGCAGGGTTCAGAGCACTCCCTATCAGTGCCATGGCCCATATCCATACCCTCCTGGCTGCTTTTATGCAACTCAACTATACATCTGTGGATCTGATCACAAATCTTCAGTATCAGCTATAATTTCACCTTTTTTCTCTGTCTATGGAACGGCTCTGCAACTGGTTAATGGGATCATGTGCTGCAGCCCCGTAGCTAGGGATTTTTTGGAGAGGGGGCCTGGGGGTGCAGCTAATTAAATCATAGTTAATTACATGAATTCCATTTGGGGGCCAGCCCGGGAGGGAGGGGACCCGGAAGAAATACTAGGGGGCTGGGCCCTGTGGGCCCCGCATTAGCTACAGGCCTGGTGTGCTGTGATGTTAAGTACTCAGACAATCCAGCAGCCAGCAAAATGCTGTCCTTACTCAGCCTGCAACATAGACCAGTCCACCAACAGGGGCTCTCCTGTGCTTTGTGCAATGCTTTATTCTGTGCTTTGAACCATCCCTGATACATTTCAGGGGGAAGGGGAATGCTGAAAAAGAACAGTTGTGTGTAACATGTTTTTATAAGGTTTAAACTGTAACACCAACCAAAATAACACAAAACAGCTTTTGAGTCCCCTGGAGCTCTTTCTCGTACTGGATGTTGAGGGGATGGTAGAAAGATGTTTCAGGTCACGAAGGAGGAATCTCATGCACTTCTACTATGACGGAAACCCTATTTTATTCAGCAGGGCTTACTGCCAAGTCTTCAAACGGACTTCAGGAGATGCTGCAGACTGAACTGGATTATGCAGTGCTGGGTGAAAAACAGATTTCTAGATGTATCAGTGGTTGTTGGGACACAGAAGCAAAAGGTCTTCCAACACTGTCGTTGGGGTTATGCCGCTTTTATTAGTTATGGAAGTGTACTGAGGTTTCTGCTGTCCTGCTTAGGCCTTTTATGCACTGGTGGTTTCCCTCACTTTCACAGATCCTCTCAGTCGTGCTATCTTTTTAGTTCTGCATTTCCCCCCACTGTTACCTTGCATCTCCGTTGGGTTTGTTTTTTTAAGTTCTGCATTGATTTGTGTCCCTTCAGCTCTCAGTTCGCTTTCCATTTGCTGTTTCCCTGGCTTTTCTGAAAGTGGTTTTGTGATGATTTCCCCCTTTGCTCCTCTTCTAAGATGATGGTAATTCAAAAGCACACATTTTCCCTTGGATTCCCCCCCACCCTTTTGTCACCCCTTCTGAGGCCGCTCCGCTCTAACATTGAGGTCATTCTGCCCACTCTGCACCTTCCGCCATCTTTCCTCCTTCATTGGCACTTACGTTTCCCATAAGGTTTTAAGGCTTGACTTCTCAGATACTCTGCAGTAAATTGTGTGTGCAGAAAGGGCCTCAGATTACACCTGGGGATGCACTGAGAGTGTAACCAATGGCAAATGACATGCACCAAGGTAGATCTGAGGACCACTGTAGTTGCATAGGGGTGTCTGTTGTGCTGGTGGGCAAGCCGTAGTGAAAGCACTAATGCCAAAACATGGCTTGTTAAACCATTTAGAAGTGGACTGCCTGGGACAGCTCATCACCCCCCCCTGTTAGCAGAAGCAGCAGGATAAATGATACACCACAGAAATTATAACACAACTTGTTGAAGTGGAATCAATGGTAAAAGTTTGCAGAACTTTATTTCTCTTCACGCAGAATTTTATTTTTTTTCCACCTACAAAAAATATACATGCCATTCTGTCACAAGTCTGCATAGTAATCAGACAGCCTTGGAATCGACGGATTATTCAGATTAAGGCTTGGTCACCCCAATTTATGACCTTTGCT